TTTTCAGGCTTCTTCTTTCCAGTTGCTTAAATTGGAAAATTTACTGCGATGATCATACTTCACTTTCACATGTAGTACCATTATTATTTTAGCTCGGTGACAAAGTTGTCAATCAATAAATGAACTCAACCGTGGAAACCAATGGGCGTTTTACAAAATCGAGGGGTTTGCGGGCAAGCTTTCCTCTCTCGCCTCACCACCCCCTGCTTCGTCGAGTTGTTGCTCTTGCTCCAATTTACGCGCGGCCGGAATGCGGAAAAGCTCTCTGAACGGGGACGCCTGCTTGGCAGGCTACATGTAGACTATCAACTCCCAGTATCAATCCTGCACTAGACACATGTTCGCATTGCGGACCTATTTTTGTCCAATCTCGTGGCTAGAGCTGGCTATTCTTAGTTAGCACCAAGATCGCGATGTTGTTGAGCTGAGGAAAAGATTGTTGGTGGTCGCGTCGAGCGGGCAGAGGTTTAAACAATACACTTTCGTTATTTTTATGTTGTGAAGCAGCAGAGCAGTTTAGTTTATCCGAACTCCGAAAGAAAATCAATTTTCCGTGTTCGTGTTGTTGTATTCTCTTTACGATGGTTGCGCGAAAATCATCAATGAATTATGAACAGTGCCCAAGGCATGGTCGGCATGACGTAAAGCAATTTTGTCTGAGAAGTGTTAGGCTTCTGGAGCACCTTCCATTTGCGTGGAAAAACCTGTGACAATTTTCCGTCAAATGGAACAGTACAAAATTTCAACAAACATGGGTCAGGATGAGTGCGCACCATTTGACAGCATTTTATTTCCTACCGAAAAGACTGCGAATTTCATCAAGGAGTATGAAAAAGCAAATGGTACAGTGATTTTCGGATCATTCCGGTAAAAACGAGTAAAGAGGTCCAACGTACTGTCAGTGGAAGGAAAGGCCCGTTCCATTTGGTTTCCTACCTGAAAAACCGGTTTTTCCATACAAATGGAAAGCATTCCAGGTCACTGGCCATTTTCGGGCGACCAAGTGACAACAAAAAGGACAAAAAAGCGCGGGAGAATTCGCGTAATGACACGAAGGTGAAGTCATTAAGGTCACGTGCATCTTGATCCACGAGTGTGCTGTATTCCGGTGTTATAATCTCGGCCGACACTAAAGGAGGGTGGGAGGAAGGTGGTGCGTAAAGATGAAGGTAAACTGTAGGAAAGCATATCAGCATTGCAACCAACCGTTTACAACGACAAAAGCCGCAGGCATTTAATTCACCACGATAAGTACGATCTGTCGACGGTTTGAAAAGTCTACAAAGTACAAACACATACCGCTTCTCACTTTAACATTTCTCCTTGGACAACAAGAAAGCAAAAATTGTTTAGGGCGTCGGAGACATTTTGTCAAAAAGCGTCTTTTACACTATTCGACTAAATATGGACAAAACTCCCGCATTTTCAAGTCGTTGAAATTTACTTTATATTTAATATTGAACAGAGTTAAAACTATATCTATTGTATGGGTGGTCAAAAACAGTTGAAACAATTTACAGTGCTAATAGATGGACAAATTCATGGTTTCAGGGATAGTGGGTTTTGGTGTCTGACACCTTAAAACTTCACTTTATGAGATCGCTAGGATGGTATTTACAACAGTGTTTATAAAATAAGAGTGAATTAATTTATCAAAAAATTGATTCAATGCTATTTATGTTGCACAACGCCATTTTTGTTTCGGGGACAAGAACGTTTGAAACGTGTTTTTATTGAAAGCGTGCGGAAAGGGCAAACAAGTTCTCAGAAGGGTATCTTTGCATATTTTGCTGGAGATCTAACGAATTGCACTTCAGTTTCCATGAAGATTATAATTCATCTTGTTCGCGAACGGGAGACACGTTGAAAGACGAAGAGAACTGGTTTCTAGTATCCAGTTCCTCCTGGAGCACGCGTGCACGGGACTGAAGCACTGAGACCTGTTGTCTGAGCGACTCAATGGTATCTTCAAGCTCCTGTAAACAAAAAGAAAAAAATGATAAGACGGAGATGAATTTCTGGAGGGAAGGATGACAGAAAAGCTGTAGGAAGACCGACAGATTACCTCTCTGAGAGAAGCCGGCATTAGACCTTTCATTTTTTCTTCGTACTGAAGTCGCAATCTGGAAACCTGCCGTACAAGAGAAAAACTAATCAGTTTGGAGACAATTTTCAAAAGGGCTGGGTCGGATTCTGGGTATTGTAGCTAGCAAGGGACAACTATATCCCCCATCTTGCGCCTCGGCGGCATGGTTTCTCTACACTAACAAACAGGATGTTCCCAACTTAGAACGAGAGTAAAATGGAGACCAGTACTAGAAGACTGGCGAAACAAAAGTACTCCGTTTAACGACTGAACACGAGACAGCAAACAAACAAAGAAATAAAGAAACAAACAAACAAACAAAACTAGAAGCCCTAGCTTGAGGAATCAACAATTGCTGCATTGTGTATGATATGATCACTTTTTTTACATACTTTTTCTTGTGCATCAAGTTCCACTTGCTGAACCCGTTTCTCTAGATGCCTCACCATCGTTTTCTGTGTTTCCACATCTTGTTGTAGAGACTGAAGGGAAAAAAGTCAGGAAAAAAAGCAAGTTAGTAAACATCATTGAAGAATTTAATTGTGTTTTGGTTGACAAACTACTGGGGCGCGAGGATCAACTGTCCATATTAAAACAACACCAACAAAATCCAAACCTTGGCGATTGTAGAGTGATGCTTTTTCACCGAAGCTTTCTCTTCTTCGTATTTTGTCGTTGTTTGCGCAAGCTTCTTTTCCAAGTTTGTTCTTGTACTGAAAACAGAAAACGTAACAGAGAACAGTAAATGAAGCATCACTGCAACAAAACCCCTGATCATTTCCTCAAGTCGTCTGTCCTCCTTCTGAAACACATGTGTACAGTGTATAAGGTGACTCCATTGAATTTTCCAAGACCACACCTTCGCACATTTGACCTGCTGAATTACTAACGTCTGTAACGATTAAACAAACGCTCCAAAAAGTGGGTTTGCTTGGCATGTGTGTCACCATAACAATGCAGGGATGACGTCGTGTATTTTAGACATGCAGACCTTATCACCAATTTTCTTGACTGAAATACCTAAACTTTTTAAACAACCTGATGTCTATTGTACGCAGTAAGCAGGTCTCCAAGACCGCAATTAAAAAAAACTACACGTCGGGGGAAGTTTGGTTTGAACCAATTGTCCAAACACGGTGTTCTGACAGAGGTCTCTACATCTGCATCCAGCCATGACGGGAAAGCTGGTAGGACCATTTGGTTCAACAAACTAGCAAGAAACCAAGGAAAGCCCTGAGAGGTGAAAAGCCACCTGAGCTATGAACACGGATTGGGGCTTTCAACTCATTCAATGTGTAAACAAAGTCTCGGTTCTCATTGGCTCACTTATGAACCAATTACATTTAGTAATCAGAACAGAAGGCAAACCAAACCAAAGTCGGCTTAACTGGCCAACTACGTGAATAAACATAAAAAGCCAATCTTACCGGCTGTTGTCCTCTTTTAATTTCTTGATTTCTTCTTCCAGTGTTTCTACAACCTATGAAACACAAAGCAGAGAAGAGCACTAGTTATGGTGTTTTTGCTTATAAAGTTTTAAGTTTTAGCAAACAAAACACTTTAAAAAACTATTCAGTTAAACATAGTTACGATAGTATCTGACCTGTTGTCCCTTTGAGGATCGCGTTCCATACTCTTCTTCCATTTGTTTCATCCTGTTATTTGTCTTCAAAACGGAAAAATAATACCAAACAACTGGATTAAATGAGCGCGGTTTTAAAAGTACTTTAAAGAGAGCGATAAACGCCCGATTTATGAGGCAGCTACCGTCGGGGAGAGAGGGGAAGTCAGACTAGCAATTACGAAAGCTGTCACATCAGCTTAAGGAGAATCATCAGTACTTATACGTCACGTTACTAGGAAACAATCTCACCAAAAATCGCGGACTCAGTCACCGTTGAAGACAGGGTTTAACGAAAGTGAAGCTTGCTTTCCCAAATTAGCAAGTGGCACGCGTGAAGCTTGGAAACTTTCAAGAACTACAGAGAGGCTTTTAGGCTTCGTCAAACGATAACGACAGCCAACGAGAGTTAGGAGATAATGGTAAGACAAAACCTTTCTTAGTGTGTGGCCAAACGAGCTGAGAGTATGCGAACTGATACTGTTGAACCAAAACTCTCGTCAGTTATGATGAAAGTTGATTGCACATGGAGGTAAAAGAGACAAAAACAATTTCAGCTCTTGACTCACCTTTTCTAAAATTTGTTCCATTTCGCTGCTGTGTTCGCGTTGTAACTGGAGTCTCTGTTGTTCAAGCTGACTCTTGAATTTTATTTGCTGTGAATACAAGAACTCGAATGAAAACTAGCTGTGAAAGGGAAGTGAAGTGCAATTTTCTGTTTTTCAGTATTTTCTTCTAATTTAACTCGTTTTTGTTATGTCCCCGTATTAGTAGGGGAGTTTTTCCCCAGTTAGGTGGTTGATGACATTCTTAATAAAGTTTCTATCTATCTATCTACAAAAAAATTGACACATCATCGGGTCTTGCCTTCTATCCCAAAATGAGAAGTGTTAGGGAAACGAAAATTCATTAACACCTTAGTTCAACTGTATTCAAAAAGTTCTCCTAATTGTCTCTGCAGTGCAGAGTATGTATGACATTAGGGTTATATTATGCATAAAATCACTGCGTCAAACCCTTGTTTTTGCTCTGGTTTCTGCAAGATTACGTAAGCGGTTCCATGCTATGATAACTATACCTACGCCTTCAAAACAGTGGGCACTGGGTGACCTCTGTATACCGTATGACACTTCTTCAACTACTCACCAAGTTTTCTTCCTGTCTCTTGTAGGTTTGTTTCTCTTCTTCTCTCAACAGGCTTAGCTCCATCAGCTGTGTTTTGTGCGTTGAATTCGCCTGAATTAGCTGACAGAAACAACGACATTTTACAATGAGTGTGTTACCTCAGTCATAGCATAGGGTACACGGAGAATTCCTACCCCACTGGGTGGGATGTTAGTCCGTTGGAGATTTCCCCTCCCTCCCTCACCAAACTAGGTTACACTGACATTTCACTGGAACTCATATATACACCGTGGCAGAGAAAGGCACTCTGAGAATCACGTGCTTTGACTAAGAACACAACATCATAGCGAAGCCTTGAAAAATTTTCGCTTGAAGAGGTAAATACCGACATCTATCACACGACACCTGTGTGAGCTGTGTGACAACACCACCAAGTTAACTTAGTAAACGCACCCCTACAACTGGACGCTACATTTACTAAAACTTACCTCCTCTCGTAACTCTCGTACTTGCTGCTCCAACTCAGCCATAGTCTGCAAAGAAACGTTTAAACGGCGTCGAGATATGGAATTGTACATAAGTCTTCAAATATTTTTTACGCGTTTGAAAGTATATCCACGTCTTTTAGCATCACCCTAATTTTCTTATCAAATCAGAGAGTCCTGCAAGTCACAGGTCAGCAAGAGAGGAGAGAAGATCAGCAACCTGACATGGCTGTTACCTTAGCGTCTTTGTTTGATCTGTTTCGCGTCTGGGTTTCGTGCTCTAGCATTTTCTGACGGAGTTTCTCCAACTGCATTTCCTAAACGATGAGAACAAAAACAATCAAGCATTAACTCCTTTTGAGGGTAAACCACGACGAATTAAAGACATGTATATTTGTCCTTCAATACAATAAACTCCGCGTAGAGCCTCCTAAGATTACCACCCTTGAACAACAATTACTTATGAGTGTGAGGTACTATACAGCTTTATGTCAGATGATGGTGCTAGCAATGCCATCGCCAACTGTTAGTGTATTGCCAAAGAAGAACACACCTTTCGTCTCTCACCATAGCATAAATTTCAATAGCAATTCTTCAAAAGACAACTTCAGGAAACCAGAAGTGTGGTGGTAATGATCTAGAGTCAGGGCGCTTACCATTTATCAGGTCTGGCCGATGGGCTACCAAAACTGACTGTCAGTTGTCTTCATAATAAGACAAAAGATAACTACATTATTCACCCCCTTACTCAGTTGCTGTGTCATCGCCCGTCAAAAATTCCCGCGTTTTCCGCGATCAGCGCCAGAACGAGGGAGCTTGGTATTCCCAGTCTCACACTAGTGGGAGTGTTGTTTGGCTACGTTCAATTCTACTAACTGCTGCGAATTAACCATGTATAAACGTCTGAAGACATGGTGGTACTTTACCAACCTTTTCTTGCTCGTGTTCTTTCAGTGACGAGTCTCTTTCTATCTGATGAGCCCTGAGGGTCTGTGCTTTCTCCTGCTCGTGTCGAATATTTAGCTCTGCAATCTAAAAGAAAAAATATCGTATCTCATATTGCTGAAGTGAAAACTTGGATTGTCCTTATGATCGATCGTAAGTAAAAAAAAGAGAAGGAAAACTGCTCGTCATAAATGCAGATGAGTGCACGCGGATTCTTCGGGTTCGAGTTCTTGCATCATTGAGAGACTTGCTTATAATTTATATCATTGTAGCGGTTTTTCCAGTGTGATATCACAGCCAGAGCCTAAAGTAACAATATACAAGTCTGTAAGGGGCGGCAAAAAGTCATGTGACTTGGCTTTAGCCTTATTTGTACTTGATTGGCTCAGAAGTCAACTTCTCTTGAAGGAAGAAGGTTCAGGAAAAAAGGATATCCGTGCTCTCTCGAATGTGAAGAATTAGGAAACAGTTTAACAGAAGATATTTCACATCCAAAAAAATCCAGCATACCTCTTTCTCGTGTTTGATTTTAAGATCTTCCAACTGTCGACTAAACTCCTTGGCTTGCTTTTCACGAAGATTCTTTGAACGGGCCAGGTCTTCCTCAACTTTCTCCATCTATAGAATTAAAATGGTTTCCGTAAACTACCAATTAAGTAGTAAGATTTAAATATTAATTTTATGACATTTTAAAGAAATGCATGCACCTTGAGACTGATTGAATGTACATGGCAACATTGGAAATTCCATGCCGCCATCTTATTCCTCTTTTTTGCTTCTTGGCAAAATGATTTAACGATAAGAATGACTTCAGGCCGTCTAAGGGAGTCAGTCATTATATTATTCACGGCGGGTGCAGAGAAACTGTACCTGGGCTTTCATTTCATCAAACATTCGTCCCGAGTTCCTCTCCACTTGACTTTTAAAATCCTCCAGCGCATGCTCAGCCTGTTGAGCCTGCTGCTTTTGAACTTCAGACAGCTTTTGGATTTGATCTTCTCGTTCCCTAACGGAAAGTGAAGTAAAGCGTCAAATGACAGCCACGGAAACTATTCAGCCTTGTAAATCCACACAACACTTGTTTGATTGGTTATACCAAAACAAACACACACCAATCAAAACTCGAAGCTGCAAGAGGCGACCGGTGCCTAGCGCGGGAAAACACGCCACCGGTGCCACACGCCGGAAAACATGCCACCGATGCCAAACGTGGGAAAACATGCCACCGGTGCCAAAGGCTACCGGTGAAATGCGCTTGAGCCACGAACACGATTAACTTTGGTTCTGATTGGCCTTGACAAACAGCATGATTTTTCTGATTGGTTTTACCTAGTACGCGTTAAGAATCCAAACCAAAAGCAAAGTCAAATGGAAACTTCTTTTATCGTCCGTTATTTTTTCTCATTCAATTTATAACAACCTACAAAACACTCGTGAAAACTTACTTCAGCGATGTCTCCAACTTTCTTATGCGCTTGTCAGACTCTGCTTCTCCTTGGTCAAGCTCTGCTTGAATTCCTCGAATCTAAGATCAGGTTCAATAAAGACGAGCAAGATTCACCTCGCTGAATTGTACTTACATCTAGTTTCACCTTACAGTATCAATACATTGACCAGCACAGACGGGTGACGAGAATAAAGAAAATGATCCACACGGGGAAACATATCGAATACAGCTGCCTTTCATCACTTGCAGACTAGGAAACACTGTGTTCACACGACACTACAATTCCCACGACTGAATTATGTCTGCCTTTGAGCAGTAGTTCTTCAACATACGCGAGAGATGGCTGACGGTCAAGTCAAAACGCGTTAAAATACATGCATAATAAGATACATCAGTTCATGAATCTCCGCTGTCATAGCAAAATTTTCAGCTGGAATCTCGGACAACCCGACTTTCAGAAAAACGGGCTCTGATAGAGACGCCTTTGTCCTTACATCTTCCATGAAATTTCTGACCGCTAAATAAAAAGTAGGTTTGTTTGGGTTTTAAGGTTTGTTTTTTTATTAGTAAATTTGCTTACTAATAACTTACAACTTTATTGGATGACACAAATTACCGGTTAAACCAGTATTTTACATTGTATAGTTCACTGAGATAAAATATAAGGTAAGTTTTTATATAAGTTTACATTTTGTAAGAGAATTGTTAGAGCTCTACACCTCTCACGACCTGAGTTGTGTTAGCCTGCAGCTAGTGCAGGCGTTTTCCGTGTGCATGGTGTGTTCTTGAGTTATCGATATTTTTGAGCTCGCGATCGAGTAGATTCGCCGCCCTGTTGGCTTAGGTGCATGAACGGGCTTCTCTTCCAGCCTCACTCCTACTCCCCAGGGACGCCTTTTTCGTCTCTCCCCAAGCCTCTTCCGAGTTTGATTCTGCTCGCTTTATAACAATGCGCTTGCTTGCCAAAATACGTCTGCATTGCAAGCAAGAGTAGTGTAGTTTCTCATGTCTTTTATGAGATTTTATTATAAGAAAATTGATACTCACCTTTTTCTCGTGTAAATGCTCTAAGTTCAACTTTTCTTGTTTGTGGGTAGATTCTAACTCCTGTTAACGAGGTCATGAAAACGGTTGAAATGACAAAAAAAAAACATTGCAAACGCAACTCCGGAGGTTATTCATGCTCACTGAGATCGTTGAAAAACAGCAATATCTCTGTCAGCAGGTGCAGAAAGCAGACCGATCGTTTTGCTTTAAAATTTCATCGCTAACAAATGGGATGGCCATCTCAAATATTTACATGTTTCAATAGTATCTACAGGAGTCGGGAGGGCTGAGAATACCAGAAATGACCAGCAGGCCTTGAAGAGAACCAGAAGGAAGACCAGGGCTGCCTCAATTGCAGCACCATCCTCCTTCATCTGCGTTATTTGCAACAGAGACTGCCACTCCAGAGTGGGACTCTATAGCCACTCGAGACGATGCTCCGCATCGACATAGCGCAACACCATCGCCTCCCGAGACGAACGGCTGCCGACATATAAGGATTTAAACATTACGAGTGACATGTGATATTTCAATTTGAAGCACAATATTGTTATCATAAGCAAACGTAAGGTCTCTTAGCAAAGCTTNATTTCATCGCTAACAAATGGGATGGCCATCTCAAATATTTACATGTTTCAATAGTATCTACAGGAGTCGGGAGGGCTGAGAATACCAGAAATGACCAGCAGGCCTTGAAGAGAACCAGAAGGAAGACCAGGGCAGCCTCAATTGCAGCACCATCCTCCTTCATCTGCGTTATTTGCAACAGAGACTGCCACTCCAGAGTGGGACTCTATAGCCACTCGAGACGATGCTCCGCATCGACATAGCGCAACACCATCGCCTCCCGAGACGAACGGCTGCCGACATATAAGGATTTAAACATTACGAGTGACATGTGATATTTCAATTTGAAGCACAATATTGTTATCATAAGCAAACGTAAGGTCTCTTAGCAAAGCTTACCAGGTGTCCAAGATCCAATTTGTTAAATGTCGGACAAAATTTTGGCCGCAAAGCTTTCAAAAAAATCTAATGGTACCATATGAGCCCTTGTAACAAAACAAATCAATACAAAACATCAGCCATACCCTGATTTGTCTCTGTCGTTGAAATTCAGTGTCTTGTAGGGCTTGTTTCAGTTGGTTAATCTGTGACTCCAGTTCAGCTATAGTGTCTGTGGCCTAAAAAAAAAATAACATCACAAACGTCATAACAAATTAAACATCATAACTTCATTTACCAAGGTCATAAAGCAGAAAAAAAGAAAGGAAAAACACAAGACACGAGAAAAGTGGGGAAATCGTTGCAGGAAAAACACGGGGCCCTTCTGCCACTCGCTTTGTATTCTTCTTGGTTGACAGTCTTTGAAAGATCGCAAGAAAAGTTGTAGTTTTATTTGTTGCAACATCATATCCCCAGACCCTAGCTCTTTACTCTCTTATGAGTGGTTCTTAATATGTGACAGTATATCATACCTTAGCAATTGCTGCCGAATGTTGTTGTTTCATGCCTTCTATGCTAGTATCTGTCTTCTTGTTTAATTGCTTCACCATTGTCTTGTGTTCATTAATTGCTTGTGAATGATCTCGTTCCATTTTGGACAGGCTGTGAAGAGTGGACAAAAATAAAGAAATGTACGCTGATAAAATTTTGAATTGGACAATAATAGTTAATTAAGCTGTCATTGTCAAGAAATGATAACAGTTGGTATTAAGAGCTCCAATCAAGAAAGTGTACCCCACTAAAGTTAGTGTCAGCATTCAAATTCTCCACACTGCCAATGTACACTTTTTAAAATTCCTTCTTGCGAAAGTTTTATTTTGACTAAAAGTCAAAACGATTTCCTCTTGGTAATCAGTTTATTCCCGTATGCCTGAATTCTATCAATGTTCTGGGGAGAGAATAGGTTCTCAGAAAACTAAATTTAATATATCAGAAAGTATTGACTGATCAGTCAGACTGAGGTAGACATCATCAACTACTGATCAAGTATTGTGAGTATCAAACAGATACACAAAATGTAGTAAAGTATCAGCTTTACGTTGTCTTGGTTTCTTGTAATTCGCTAGATAAGGATGCTGCCTGTTGTTCAAGTTCCTCCTGAAAAAAAAAAGCAGGAATGAATAACTTTTCACAACGCTTTTGAAACGTGTTAAGAAATCCACATATTAACATAATGTAGTCATACCATGCTATCATTATTTGACAACTTTTTGAAAACTTTTTTGACCTATCTGTGGGGCAGATTTTACATGAAATGCTGCTGTCAGGCCTTTGTAAAAGTTGTTATGATAACTTTGCCCCTAACTTTCCCTGATTTTAATTTGCCAAATTAGACAGAACCCATTGGAAATTCCTCAAAAAGATTTTAAAATAAACCAAAACTGACAATAATGATACAGTGCACTGGCAATATACCCCATGATTACATGATTTCTTTTACTGGCATTGAACGTTTGGTTCTACGGATAATGCCCCAAATAGAGTGGGTTTCAACCGAGTGTCATAAAACCAAAACCAAAGTAATCTCTCTGACCAATCACAAAGGACACAGGCAATACAGTGAACCAATCAAAAGTCGAAGTAATTTCATGTAGATGATGCAAAGCACAGTAAACCGTGTCTGAACGAGTCATGATTGGTTTTAGTTTTAATGAAAAACTGGCATGGGTTTTTTAAGCCAATCATGTTGTGTAGTTGCTGCAAAACTAATATTACTTTTTGACACTCGAATGAAAACTGCTCTAACTGCAAAAAGAAATTTTACAATAACTGTCTTATTTCTCGCACGCTGATTGGCTCATTTTTATCATCAATAAGAGTACAGACGGATAAAATTTTAATTCATGCAAGCTTTCAAGTTCAACTCTTAGCTGTCAAACTGTCAACTTTTAAACCAATGAGATTTTATGGACTTTTTTAAGTAGCCAATGAAAAAGCGAGAAAAGCTATTGACAATGTTCGCATCATTTTGAATAAAATTCACTTGTCTTTGTTTACGGCAAGTTTACGGCATCTTTTCCCTTCATTTATTCCCGGCATTTGACAATTTTGTGGTCTTGTTATTGTAAAAAACAAATTGACGTCGGTTTTTTATACGTCTGATCTCTTATTGATGATAAATTTCGTCATAACATTGTCAAAGTTTACTGCAGAACCACTTTGACAATGTTATGGTGCAATTTATCATCAATAAGAGGACAGATGCATAAAAAACTGACGTCAATTTGTTAAGTTGAATACAGCCAGACAAGCAAATACATGATGACGGTAAATTCCGCTCTCCAAGACTGGACTGCCAGGTCACAGATTTTGTCCTTAAGGTTGTTGAACAACTGATCATGTCATGATGGCAATGTCAATGACTATGCTATTCTTTGATTATGTAACAAAAATTTAATTTGATGAAGATTTGCCAAAAATGGCGCTTGCTCTTACTTTTTCCTTTGCAAGCTTTGATCTAGAATTCTGCAGTCCTTCTGATTCCTTAGTAAGCTGTTGTACCCTTGTTTCCAATTCCTGAATGACCAATCTCTAAAAAATTAATGATGACCAGATTGCAAACAATGGTGAGTTTCATTATTGATCTCTGTGAACACAGCTTGGGAGATGTGGGCATTTATTGACTTTGGTGGGTCCAAGCCTTGCCAGGATTCTCGCATTATGTTTTAATGCCAACTGAAGGTACTTGTATCACAGAACTGTGCCTCTTCTGCCACCACCACTTCTACAGTGTACCCCTGCCACCAACCCCACTAAACTAGAGTGATGTAACAACCATCTACATGTACTAAAGTTTAAGTCACACTCAGGTCCACTGTTCCACGTAATCTGACGTCATCCTGTCTGCTATGGCATGAAGTGACTAGGATCACTGCTGGACGGGTTGCCAGTCCAATGCCACGCTACCCAGCATTCTGTTCAACAGTTATGGCTGTCTGTTTCTCTTGAGTATCAGTAAGTATGCTAGTGGTGGAATGTCTTGTGAATGGGTACAATGTTCATTGAATTATAATAAGAAATGTCAGAGATAGTGTACTTACAGTAGTAGCATTTTGCTGATTGTATTCAGTTTCCATTTTTTGCAGTCTCTGGTTTGTTTCATCCAGCAGTTCTTGAATGTTCTGTGTGTGTTGTTTCTGCATCTCAAATTTTTCTTGCTCGAACTCAGCTATCTTGTCATTTAACTAGAGAAAAAGTTAATTTATTAAACTCTTTTGCTGACACTAAATTGGTAAAACAAAATGAGTAGAACCTTGAAGACAAATTTGGCACCAAACTTTCAATTTAATTCACCGAATCTGATGGGATAATGACATTCTAAGGACGGGTTCTACACTAGCAATGGAGTCAGAATCTCAGTCAGAATGTCACTGTGCAAGGTAAAAAACACTTTGATTTGATTCTGACAGGTCCATTGTGTACTGACCAATCACAATAAAGTTCAGAGACACGTGAGAAAACAACAAACCAAATTACAATTATTGCTGTTTGTGGTTTTAAGTTTTCTTATGCTCAGTTGGCTTTTTCCTAGCTACACAATAACATTCCATAAAATTTTTATAATATTCTCACTGGTGTTTACGGTTTTCTGAGTTTCACAGTAAGTGCATGCACAGGAGTCCATGCAAACTCTACAAATTACGGTCACCACGTTCAGATAGTTACACTTGATTTTTAGCATTTGCAAATATCCTTCAATCAGTCGTGCCTTCTAACTCAGACTCTATCTCTTGAGTAATCCAGCCCTTACAGGATAAACTACAAGTACAATGTAAGAACTGACCTTCTTTTCAAAGTCATGCTGCGCTGTTTCACCACTCTGCTCAGCTAGAGTTTTTAGTTCTGCTATTTGCGTGTCTCTTTGCTCCTTCATTGCTTGAGCTTCTCTAACAAGCTGAGAAACTTAATGAAAAACAACACCAGAGCACAGAAAGAACTTGAGTAATTTAATAGTAATTAATAGTAATCAAATTCATTTGATGCATGTCTGATGCTAAAAAAATGCAATATAAGCTGGACATGTGCTTGACTTGTTTATTCAGTTGACAGTCCAACTTGCTGTCTCTAGGAGCCCTAATCCTTACCTTTCCTTTCCTGTTTTTTAGCAGCTGCTTCCATTTCAGTGATCTTGTTGCGATAGTGTGATTTCACTTCCTCTAACTCCATGTTCTTTCTGTCTAAAATCTTACAATTAAACAGAATAACATATTATGTTACATTTGAACGTAAAGATGTTAGTTGCAAGGACAAAGAAAAACCAAAATGAGTGTAGACTAGGTTCCCATGTCCAACAAAACCATTGGAGAAGAGGTTACACTATGGTGAGTATGTGACCTCCATGCCAGCCTACTTGATTTATGAGCAGTCTCCTAGTAGCAGAAATTGTATAATTTGTTTAATTTTGCAATTTTTGGGAAAAGTGAAGAGAGGTCCTCTTTGTGCAAGTGATTCTTGTGTCTTAACTCTACCACTCATCTCTCATTTTTTCTCATATTTAGCTTTCATCTAAAGTATAGAAATAGCAAGACTGCTCATGGCATAAAGGTCATTTAACTGTCACCTGTTATTTTGCCTTTTAAGAAGAGTACTGGTACTATTTTCAGAATACCTTTTGAACTGCAACATCATGTTGCTGTTGAAGTTTGAGTTTATCTTCATGATATTTTGCTTCAACCATCTTTGTTCTTAGCTCAATCTGTTCAGAATGAAAGATGAAAAAAAATGAAGAAAAATATTCAAGGGCTCAATACATGTAAGCATAATTTTGTGAATAAAAGAAAAGTTCTAAACAAAAATGATATGTTTACCTCTCTGTCACTTGATCGGTTAAAGCTATGGTCCTCTCTTAAAGTTCCATTAATAGAGGATACACCTTTAAAAAAATATGAAATTAAGGTTACTACATTTACACAATATTGAAACAAGTGCATGAATGAAATTTAATAAAAATTATTCATGAAATGAAAGACATCCGTAATGTTTAAACTCTCTAATGCCTAATAACCTGGACAGCAGTAATGGAGGCTAGATGTCATAGCTGTATGATAGAGGGAGGGGTGGGTAAAAAGAGGATCTCCATCAGTTGTTATTAGTGACGGTGCACCCACCTTTAGTAAATCCATTGTATTGGTTTGTTTTTGATGGCTAAAAAATTAAAAAAAAAATACAAAAATTAATTACCTCAAGCATACTTTGCAAACACAAGTTATAGGTATATACTGCAACAATTCTGTGACAGCCACAGCGCTCTACGCTGTAGAATGTGCTTTTTTCTTACTGGCGATGTAGAGGGATATCCTGAATCAGTGTGTTGATACTCTGATGGGCTCTCATAATGTCGACGAGGTGGTGGAGAAATACGAGCGCCATATCTGGTTTCTAGAATGTCTTCAGAAGGGTATCCTGAGGAGAGCCTTCCCTTGTAGCGTTTTTCTTCAAGAACCTGATCAAATCCTGGAGCCACTTCATACCCATTTTTTTCTTCCCTACTGGAGGTGCTGTAAGTTGTGGATCGTGGCTGTGGAACTGGATTAATACCACTTGTAGTTGGAAGTTCCCTGAAACAAATGAAAAGTTTGAACATGAAGGTGTACAATCTTATGTATAATCACTCTTGCACAGTTCCAAGCTGCTTATGTCACATCTGCTAATAGCAATGTCCACACATGAAAGACATATTAAAACACAGTAGGCTGTTTCTGGGCACCTTGTCCTGCAAAGGCAGTTCCACAGAGGCAGGACTAAATCTAGGCTTGATTACCAGCTGCTGCTTCGCGAAATGTGTCCATGCTCACCTCCAGGGAGGCACGCAGACCCGAGAGAGCGGCGAAAATCGAACCTAGACTAAATCCCTTTTGGGTAAATTAATACATTAACTGAAATCAGATACCAAACTGCTGAAGAACTTGTTAACAAACCTTCTTGGATGAGGAGGGATGCTTCCAGATATATCAGAATAGACACTTCCTGAAACCATAAACATACAATCTTCAGGAGAAAAAATATCATACAGTTTACACATCCAATAAAACATTCTCTCCTTGATCATGTTACTCATTCAAATAGTCTCTAAATACGAATTGAAATTAAGGTTATGTACATAAATAGTAACCATCTTATAAAATGATTTACAGTATTTCAGCACTTTAAATCATATATGCCATGCTAAAGGCAAACCTGGTGAGAAACCTTCAAGATCTTTGAGGATCTCACAAGACCTTTAAAGAGCACTGTCTCGTCATGATAACAGCAGCCTTGTGGGGTAGGGTGCTGAAGAGGAGCACCCCCCTTCTGCACAGGGGAATGGGGTGCTCCTCCCTGAAAATTTTGAAAATCACTGGGGTACCTTGAAGTTTATTCCGGTGCATTTTTTGCGCCCATAACTGATTTTGT